AGTACTTGGTATATTTCTCAACGTAGTCTAAAGCTAAATTACTTACTCGCTAAACTTTTCTGACTTCTCTGAGATTTTTTTCAAATTCAGTTGAGCGGTTTTTGAGTATAAAAGCTACACACTTCCACATAATATGGTTTTAAGTCTTTAAGATATAGTTTCTTTATTCGAGGCCATAAGTGTGACAATTTGATGCATGCGCTTTCCTGATCTGCCCAAGTAACCAATGTCAACCATTTATTTACAAAAAAAAAAAATACTTATTTCTACTATTACTATTATAACCAGGCAAAGTTTATGAATACGAAAAAAGTTTCAATTTCCATCGTGAATCTTAAGATCATCTCTTTAAAATGAGAATATCGGAAAATCCTTTCTTATTATACATCTAGATCATTATAGAAACCACTATTCCAAATTTCAAGTTCATACGTTTTGTGATTTTAATATATAACGATGAATGAGTGAGTGTGTGTAAGAGAGAGAGAGAGGGAGCGAGTGTGTGATATTTAGCTTATATTATGTATAAATTTGTTGGTAGGCATATGAAACGTTTTAAATTGTAATGATAAATATTTTCGATTTCGATTTCGTATTTTATCGTTCTCTCTTTTCCATCTGGTAACATTTTTTTATCCAGCAGTATGTGATCTTTCAAATTTCAAACCGGTTGCTCAGGTGCACTGCAGACGTAGTTGCACAGTGCCCGGTAGTTGTGTTTAACTCGGATAAAATATTCATTCGTAATTAGACGTAGAGACGATTAACAAAAACAAACTTGATATTAATTGACAATTGACGATAACAATTTAAAATATCGATATCTACCTATAAATATGTAAAAACCTAATTTAATAATCATTTGTTGTAAATGTATAGTTATGTATTGTCTGACTCTTGTTTTAATTGTATGTATGTTATTTGTATACTTTTAAGCACCCATATATACATATATAACGCATACAACTTAGTGAGTTATTGTACATTTATTATAACTTATGATAAGTGTGGAAAACAGACTAGAAAAACTAATGATTTCACAACTTAACTCTGCACGACAAACTTGGGTAGGTATTTAATTATTTTAAGCAGTTGTATACTACAAATTATTTATACTCAATGACTACTTACTTACAGCTTCACAATTCTAATTCATATTAAATGTATCGATTTGTTTCAATTTCAACGAAAGGTATTGGTATTAGGTAAAGGTATTAGCTATCGCCTAATACTATTTAAGACTTTATTACATTTTTATCTCTAGATCACTTCCCAACGCTTGTTTTTTGAATAATTACGCATCAAAATCGAATTGAATACTCTAGATTCTAAAGTCTAGAATCTGGATAAAATCAATATATTTTGTCAATTCCCGATCAATATAATATGTATATTACATATTATGTAGTAAGGGATTTTAAATTTGACTCTACCGATATCGATATATATAAAACGGATATGTATAATTTAGTTACACTTAAAATGCATATACATTAGATATACTCATTTAGTTTTGCGCAGTGGTTTGTCATTGTCCGTCATTCATAAAATAAATATTAGAAAGTCCATCGTGTGCAGAGTCAAATGCATTTTACAAGTTTACACTGTAAACAATAAATTCACAACATATTTTAGTGATGTATTTGTTGATACATATCTCTATACTTTTATCGTATACATATTAAAATATATTAATTCAGTTTTCACGATGACACTTTTGGGACCGCACAATGAATTACAACGAAACATTGTATTCAACAATCAACTCTGATGTAGGACGATAACCATGTGATAGTGTTGTACATACCAACTATACCTACCTAATATGTGTATATGTAATATGTTTTTTTTTTATTTGCTTTACACTCAGGCACGCAGCCATACAAATATTATAATGCTTATTTTTTTCCAAACTGTTTTATTCTCCATTGTAAATTGTAATATGTAAATGTTGATGTACCAAAATTACTCCGGACGAACAATTTGGAGTTGTAAATAGAATTTTTTCATACTGTAATAAATGTGAAACAAAATATATTGCTCTTACCTTTTGCCCACACATCCGTATTTATATCGTATACCTATATCCTTTTAATTTGTTTTCAGAAAAAAACTGAAACTGAACAGTACGCGTCATACGTATATAATATAGTTTAGTATACCCCATACCAGTGCCTATACTGTAATACTGTACAGACATTAGACATAGACCATAGTGTATACGGTATATCTATTATAATAACTAATAGGTATTAAGATTTATGAGACTTCCTTGTGATAACCGCTACAGGTATACGTGGGTTTGCTTATTCCTTAGATCATAATATCCTAGCGCATAGTGATTAATGCTATGGTCTAAGGCTTAATCACTATATACATAGTGGTTATATGAACTATTTCGATGAAATGCACAGCACGCGCCAGTGCACCACCTTAATACACAGGTGTAAGGCATTGAGTACTACGTATTTTACACGTGTGGACCGCATAATCTATAATAGAGTATAAAAATAATTCACAAATTATTATATTGGTAGGTAGGTATTATTATAATATTTTATAATAGTAAATTATATTGATGTAGCCCTGGGCAACAGAGAAGAACAGCACGTGAGATTAGAACTACAATTTTATAGACGGACACAAGGTGATTCTCTTGCGCATCATAGTCACGCTCGTTTTTCGATTTAGATCGGCATGATGGTGGTGCGCAAGGTTCACGAATCACGCTCATTTTCTCAAAAAGTTCGTTTATAGAAAAAATGTTATTTTGTTTTTTAGAAAATTTGATGTCATAACAAAATAACATTATTGAAAAAAAAATATTTTTACCGTCATCGTTTTTATAATTTTTAATTAGAGGAACGAAATTTTATACCCCGAAACGAAATATATTTTTTATGAGTCTAAATATTTAAAATCCCTTGATTAAGTTTAAATGCTTATGAAATGCAATTAAAAAAGGTATGCTTTCTTTCAAAAAAGTATTAACAACTTAAAAAAAATTAAAAACTACTTCCAAAATTATTAATACTATTTTCAATAATGAGTTTTCAGCTTTAAAAGAACTACCTTGTATTGTACATTAATTGTTCTGTGATGAACCGTGTACGATACACGCGGGTCGACAAGTGAAATAATAATATGTTGTTCGGCTACCTTAGTCTTCTACTCTTCTCTTCTACATATTAATAAACAATAATATTATGTGCAGTGCGTTGTGATATACCGGTTGGCTGATGTAAATTAAGACGTCAATATCGTATAGCTGGTTTTAATTTTCTTTCGTTCATTATGTAGCCGGTTAAGAAAACGGACAAAAAAAACACATTAAGGGTCTCCTGTTACGCCGTGAATATTTAAACGCCATTTTTAATTCCTTTTTTATTCGGGTGTATATTTTTCTCTTTCAAATCACGGCCGCACGCCACATGCCGTCCAGAATAATATCGAATTATGATTCGAGCCGAGTGGCCTGTAGTTGCCTCTCTCTAATATATTATTTTATACTCACATTATAGTATATACGTATATGCGTATTATTTTAATAACTAAATCACAGTATAGGTAAGGTAAGGTATCTACGCTCAAGTGCAGGCGCATGTATAATATTCGTGTATGTGTGTATGTATGTATATATATATATATATTATGATGAACGGTCGAATAACGACAATATAAACGTATTGTTTATAGATACACGAGCAGTATAATATAATTACATTATATTATAGGTACCCACCTATAGTAATAACGTCAAAAGGAAATTCCGATCGTGTTGTTCCGGTGTTGTTTTCGGACATGGACAAAATTTTAAAACAATATGGGAACGGGACGGGAACGTATATCATTATACGCGCATAGGTAATATAATTAAATTATTATTATTATATTATCGCTGTCGCCGGTTTCCTATAGCAGCGCAGTTCACACACATCGCTCGTCATGCAGCAGTTGAGCGGTCTGAACCAGGTGCAGTGCGCGCTGCAGACCGTCTCGACCGCTCGTCGGGGGAATTCATTTTTTTCGAGGGTTGATGAGCGCGCGCAGGGTCGGGATGCCTCACGTCCGTGACTAAGACGAATGGAGGTAAACGCAATAAGAGGGTATATAATATTACACACGACAGAAAGTACATAAATATATATATATATTACGAGACATGAGTCACTCGACACACACATTTTAATACAAATAATACAAATGTACCTATGTATGGGTTGTATACGATGCAATAGGTTATATTATTATTATTATTGTTGTTATGTGCGCAGACGGTACAACGGCGAAAACCTTTTTTTTCTATCTATTAGAGGGTCTCCGATATATTTCATTATAACGTCATCGTTTGTTATAAAAGTATTAAACTTATATACAGTTATAGACGTGAATTGTTGTAGTCGATGTGTAGCAAACGTCACTTTGGCACCACGAACACGTGTAGACCATATAATATTATTATTATATCGGAGGGGCCGGTTTCGTGCAGCGCACACCTCCTATATTTATATCTATGTACTGTGTAGTATTATAAAATAAGGCGGTTTCGCCGCAGTAATCAAACGAGAGCCGCTATATTATATACTCGTACAATATAGTTGTGACGTTGGTTTTAACGTTTTTAATTTGGTAAAATAACCCGAGGCCCTTTACCTCGCATATGCTTTGTTTGCAGTACATGTCTATGTATACATATAGTACATGATATATATATTGTGTATACTGTATATATGAGCAAGACCGCGGCGTTTGTGCGATACCCAATTTATTGTCTGCCATATCAGAGATAATACAAAGTGAACTCAACACTAATTACTAATATTATTCATGTTTATTTGCATTTTGTATAATAATATTGTTATACTCTATTTACTATACATATTATTTTTATTTTTTAAAGATAAAATATTCGCTCGGTAGAAAAAAAAATGTTAATTTTTAGATTACCAAATTAATAAAATACAAAGTATATAATATATATTGTTAATCTGTATGTGCAGGCCGAGAAGATGTATTTCATTCTAACCGCCAAAAGCCTACTGTGGGCTACGTTGAGTGTGGTGTCCACCATTACTCTATTCACGGCCATCTACTCTCCAAAATGGCTCGTCGGACCTACTGATTACAACTGTCTATCGAACAAATCGCTGTCCATTGAATGTAAGTCCATGAGAATTAAACACGCATTGCATTTAATATTAGTATGCTTAAATATACAGTATCCAACCACATGGACGGCCTTGGATACATGTTTGTTCATCTAGGCCACATTTTTCCCAATATTTCCAAGTTACTATATTCAATATTTGGGAAACACTGAAACAGCAAGTAGACTTTAGGAGTTAATCGTTTAAAACATTTTATAACATTTTATAACAGTATATATATATATATTACGTTGTAGCTATTAAGTATTAATATTACTATTTAATTAATATCTTTAAACCTTTCTAAATTTTACCCGATAGCATTAAAATGAATAATCTATACCACACGCGCCTAAAATGTTATATCATTAAACTACTTACATGTCCTACGACATTGTAATAATGCGCACACGACATACGCACGATATAGGTGCATTCACAAATATTGGCTTGCGTACTGCATCATTTCAGTGCAATTATTGATAACCGTCGCCCGTCGGATTGTTTTGTTCGCAGCAAATAACAGCTCGGACTCGCCATACTACGAAGTGCGTTGCCGTCCATCCGTCGGCATCTACTACCGGTGTACGAAAATCAACGGCAACCAGCACTGCGGTTCGTTCGCCGTCGAAGGACTGGCCACGGATACGTCGATGTTCCCTTTCGTGTGGAAGGTCGGTCTGGTGTTGATGTCCGCTGGCGTTTTCGTCAGCTTTTTAATGTCTGCCATGGCCGTGGGCAGCTTTTGCAAACAATCGATAAGCAAGAAAAGCGTGTTCGGGATAGCTGGTTCCGGACAAGGACTCTCCGGTAATAATCAAATATAATAATATATTGTCTGGTTATCGTAGAACTATCAGAAAGTATTTCGTATTCGAACATAGCGCATGTGGGCATATGGCACACGCGTTATGTGTAATATTATATAAATTTCCGTATTTCGCGTGCAGCCATACCTAAGATACCTAGTGGTGACTATATATTACAGACGGCGTACCTATTACATCTCGAAGATATTATAAGCTATAAAGTATTGTCATTTATAAATATACTTATATACCTTTACTACCACCTTGTCTTTCTGACGTCGACGTCAAGACGTCAAGTTCCCCTATATTGTTAGTCTTATTCTCATTTTATAATATGATAATGAATTAGTCTTACCTATGAATATAAACACGAAATTCTTTGTAAATAATTAAACATACGAGTATAATATATTATATATTGATATTCTTAATATGGCTCGGAGTGGCGCGTTGGCTGCTGCCAGTCGCGGAATACGACTGGGGTCTGGGAGTAAGTAATGGCCACAGCTACTTGAGCTACTAGTTCCCACTTCCCGGATGGGTGACCACCCGGGTTCATAGTAGTTAAAAGCCTTGCCACACATACACGTGTTTGCTAGCTACCGTAACAATCGTAAAAAAAACCAACCAACCTTACCCCTACAACAGCTAATGGCCCTAGTCGCTGGGCTTAAGTTCAATAAAAATAAATAAAAAATAAAAAATAATATTCTTAATATTTTTTATATTCTACGGGCTTATAATAATTATAAACGGTGATAAAATACTATTATAAACAAAATATTTTTCCGGATAATATGATAATTCAAAATGACTTTATTGGCAAATAAGAAAATAGAGGCAAATGAATTAATTAAAACATCAAACTAGTAAGTTAAGTTGATAAGTTGAAATTATCTTAACTTACTGACTGTTTATTAGACTAGCCTTTTCACGTTTCCAGTATAAAATAATCCTGCGAAAAACTCGACAGACTGCTTCGAATAGGCAATATTTATAAATATATCATGCGAACCTCACATTAATAACATATGAATTCGTGTGTATTGTGTATATATTTGCTGAATTTATAGATATAAGAGTATAGAATTTATAATGTATATTATAATGTATAATTACGTGTGACGAATTGTTTATTTTTGTCTTTCAGTTTTACTCTATCTGATAGGAGTAATTTGTTTCGCCGCTGGTTGGGGATCGGAACGCGTGGTGCTGCTGTGCGGAACTCAATCTGTGCCTTTTGTCTCTGCTGACTGCACGAATGGTATGAATTATAACGAGTTTAATAATAAATTTAAACAACTAGCTGGTTATCAAAACTCGAGAACATTGGATAACACATATTATGTAGAAAACGAATTACTAGGAAATTATCCCTAAGTTGTACAAATTAGCATAAACACGAGCACCACCTATATAGGTGTCTATCATTTCATAAATAGATATAAGTATTTAAAAAAAAAATCAAATTGTCTCTTACGTCACAACCGCGATGTTCCACGAATTCCCTGGTCCATGGAGCGTAAAAACTAAAAATACGATTGTTTATTTCATTATATTTACAACAGACCGCTAGGGTTCCTGAAGTTTTCCCAAACATCTCATTTTTTACTTTTTGAATTCAGAATACTGTACTTGAACGTCTTGAATATTGAATCTACCCAGATGTCGGAGGTAATATTTTAAGCTAAATCATCTATGATGAAGATACGAGATACATATACAGTCATACAGAGTACTGCAGATTGAATCAGGTGGGTGCGCGCCGCGCGGTACCTACTGTATCTTATCTCCTAATCGTTCGAATATGTATTATGATTAAACGACAGTGAAACACAAATAACTGACATACCTTTTTTATAAAGCCTTTTCTGCCAAGAACGTCGTAGCAGTAATAATGTTTTTTATTAATAAAAAAAAAAAATGTTTTCATTTCCTGATCCCGGACTACTACTATAAATTCATATGCATTCATGCGTCTACCTCACGGGTAGAGATTTTATTACATTTTAAGGGGAGTGGGAGGTAAGATGTTCCTACACTGCGAAATGAGCCAATTAATAATATTAATATATATATATTATTTTAATTTTGAAGACTCTTAGCATAGTTCTGTGTGGTTGAGCTGTTCTAGTTGCATTTGTGGTGTGATTTTATTTTGTCACGCTGAAACAATACTTGTGGCAGAAATGAATACATGATATAATAATATGAACAGGCGCGGATCCAGGGGGGAGATGTAAGGGTTCAGCCCCCCCCCCCTACCCAAACATATTATATCAATTTTTTTAATAAATCTACATATCCTGGTATTACTATATTTCAAATCACATGTATGTCTGTTAATATAATATATTATTATATGTATCATTTTGGGGTGCACAAACTAAGGTAGTACTAACTTGGTTCATGGTGGAAAGAGATTCCATATTGTAATTTTTATTTTAAAAAAACTGTTGCCCCCCCCCCCCTTAGGTGTTTCTTCTGGATCCGTGTCTGAATATGCAGACACTCTTCATATAAAAAAACATAATATATGTGAACGGTTTTTATAGAAAATAGCCAACTGTGATTTTACCTTATCGTTACGTTTAAAATAATATATTTTGCTATGCGATGTTATAGGATCAGGTTTGTACACTGCAGCTTTTGGTATTGTTCTCACTTTCGCCACGGCCATGTTGTCGGGGCCAGCGGACCGAGCAACGTCCAGCGACAAAGTAGCACTTCAACTCGAACAAGGAGAAAATATTGTCTTTTTACTATAGATAACGTTGTTTTATAAATGTTTATTTTATACTCCATGCATATGTACATAATAATATTTTAATTATAATAAATAGGTATCAACATTATACTTATTATACCTACTTAATGCTTTTGTTACGTCAACAATTTTTTTATATTTTCTAACGATAAATATTTGTAAGCGATATTGTATTTTTATTTTTTCATATTTATAAAAATAATTTTACTCACATTTTTAGCGAACCAACTCTGTTATTTTTTTTTAATCTAATCCTGTCGTTTTAATATTTTTTACAATTTCCTATAGGTACGTGGTTATGTAGCTATGATGATACTGTAGAATTCTGCATTTCTGCCCACATATTTGAATCGCATTATATTTTGGTACTATTTAATATTTATATGAATTAAACTTATTAATGATATATTATTATAATAAATACTTATTTACCATAGACATTTTTGTAATGCCTAACCATGGTATTATATAAGGTGATTTTTTGAACATAAGTACTTATTGTTTCTAAAACTTAACATTTTTCAAAATATTTCTTTACCCAATTTAAGTTATTAAAAAATAATGTTTTTTCATTTCTCATCAACATCTTTTTAAGTTTTGAACTTAGGTATTGGAATGACAACATACATTTTTGATTTCATATTATGTCGAAGAAAATTTACAATGTAGGTACTTTTATATTATGAAATGTTCAAATGTATATTAATCGAATTTCTAATCAGCTGTTAATTAGCTTATAATTAAAGTAAGTTATAAGTTTTAACTAATAAGCATAGCCATAACTAGACCTTAAAATTAGGAGGGCTCTAGCCCTAGCATTTTTATAATTAGTAAATTAAGTGTGGGGCTCCACTCCCTACACCACCAAAACCTGTTTCATTAATTGACAATAAATACGATTAATATTTTATTTTATTATTATGGTATTTTGTGTGTATAATACGAATCTTAAAAAGTGGAAAGATTAGGTAAACATTAAATTATTAAAATATGTTATTCAAGTTTTTATTTTAATTTTCTTAAAATATAAGTGAAAGTTAAAACATTTATGTGGGCAACATTATTATAATATAACTATAGTCAATACAGTTTAAGCATCCGCTCAGAATAAGTAAATCGTTTTAAAAATCCTCTTTATTTAGAACATTTGATAAATCTCTTTAAGCCATCCCCCACCCCCGGGGCATGGCAGAAACCTACGGGTGCCCCATTCGAAATTCTGCCAAAAACAAACACACACGTGTTCCCCCCTACCGTCCCAAAAAATATACAATACAAACCTACAATACAAATTCTACTACAGCTAATGGCCTCAGTTGCCGAAGCTTAATAAAAAAAAAAAAAATCTCTTTAGATACCTATAATAATTAACTTAGAGAATCGATCTGGCGTTGCTAAAAATGTTCTATCACAAGATGCAGAACTTGTTGAAACAGAATGTGATATATGAAGCATTTTATATACATTTGGAAAATTAGCCGTTTTTAATTATTAATATTTTCTAAAAGTTGATTATCTAACCCAATTTTCTGAGTTTTATTCAGTTTCGTTTATTTTATATTTTATAAATTCGGAAAACATAAGGAAACAAAATTTAACTCATTTATTCTAATAATAATAACAACGACGTTGACCAGAATGCTAACTATTAGACACAAACACACAACCGTTGTATTTATGAAAATCGAAGGACGATGATGATATAATAAAATAATATAAAATCTAATTAGGTTTTAAGCAAGACCCCTAGGTCTATCCCATAACCTCGGTAGGTACATCAAAATACGCCAAAAATATTCTCTTTTGGAATATGAAATTAAAAATGTGCGATTTCATTCTAAAAAGTAACAAAATTAAAAAAGATGATTGTTAAAATAGTAAATATACGATTTCTATGGAAAATGTTATTTTGAAATTACTTAAAATTATGTAAAAATTGACAAAAATGTTTCCGAAATATTAAGTGACCTAATAAAAAAATCATCATCCTGTATACTTAATGTATAAATGTATAATATATGGTAACACAAGTACCCACATACAGCTACGGGATTTAAGTTATAATGAAATAAATAATTTCTGGCGATATTTTCGTATATTATAATTTATAATAAATGTGCAATATTATAATGTACATTATATTATGTATAATGTTATATTAGATCGCTTTTATTACATAATAAAAACCTACCTATTTAATACATTGTAGGTATATATTATAATATATTATATTAACTGTAATACTGTGTGTTGCACAAGATTATAAAATGTGATTTTTTTGTCATTTACCTACTTCTTTCATTGAAGTTAAATAACATTACATTAATTTTTATTATGCAGCTGCAATATTTAAAAAAAAGTACATTACACAATTTCAAATAATAATATATAATATGCTTATGCAGACAAGATTATAGTAGAAGTACCTAATGTTTATACGACATGAAAACATGCAGTAGTGCAGCACATTGTGCAGTGGTGCACTGAACTGTCTGAACTACATACCAATAGACCAGTACCCTACAATACTATTAATATTATGCTTAATACTGACTTATCTAGTTTATCGTACCTATGTAGCTTTTTCAAGGTAGGTACTAATGCACTATAGTAATTAATTACTAATTTAAATTAATATGAAGGGGTAAATGGTTGGATTTAGCTACGTGCGAAAACCCATAGACCCATACATAGAAAATAGAAATACATTTTATATGCTGAGTTCAGCTATTAATCATTAACTACTCGTATAATGTATTGGATTTTAGATTCTGGGGATGAATGTATTTATTGATTTTACAATGATATATGTTTTTTTTTGTGCCCGAGTACCTATTGCCTACACGATGAGAAGTCAAAATATTGCTTCGACTTCCAACCACAGTATTTTCTGATGGGACAGTAAATCTAGTTGGTGCAATCGGACATTTGGGAGGTCAACATTTGAAATTCCTATAGAAGATTTCAAAAATGAAAAAAAAAAATGTATGATCGATTTTCGACAATATTAATTTTGGTTTTTGGTATAACACTAACTCTAAAAAAAATTATTGGAGATAAATGGAATTTAGTATAGTAAAAAATATTTTCACTCATGTTGAGCTATATACACTATATAGGCATATCAGCGTATAGGCGCAACAAGACCCCTAAAATGTGGGGTATGCTATATAGGTAATTGTAAATGCCTCCCAGAGCCGTGGAATGCTTTGTCTCCCCCACACCCTCTATCATCAAAATTTCATAATCACACACATTACAAGTTACAAATCTACAATGTTCAATACTTCAAATTGTTGGGTAAGAACCAAATATATGTATATAATACGATTTTTATTAATATACTTAGGTATTATTAAGATATTACCTATATCTACAACGTATGGGGGGGGGAGGTTATCCCAGTAATACACAGACGACCAACCGGTGGAGTATCTAGCCACCGGGCCCCAAAGTATGTTCAAGTTGGGGGGGGGGGGGGCACAGGACCTTTAGCATAACATAAAAAAAATAATGAACATTTTTTTTTTATTTACATTATATTTGTTAAAAAATGATTTGATTTGAAATACGTAAAAAAATAAGGTAGCGCTTATTATCTTGTTTACTATCTAATAATATAATATGTACGTCGTGGGTTTTTCAAACTGGTGGCCATAGCTATACAAATAAATTATCATAACTCATACACAGCTATTCTAAGAATATTTTTTCCGAGGCAGCCACTAACATGTGCAGGCTTCACAGCAGCTCTATAACCTATTGATGAAAATATTGTGATTTATACGTCATATGTTGTCGTCTCCTTACAATCCTTAAATTTATTATTAGTTCTCAATTACGTCACCGAAATAGACAATCTGATTTTGACGGGCGGTCACTGTGTTACTCCTTGTGCGGAAAATAGGAGCCGGCGAGAAACGTGACTTTCTGATTATCACAATTTAACTTTATATATAAAAAAAAGCCAGACTGCGAATGCCGACCAACAAAGTCCGGACTTTGAGCCCTTAATAATCAATATTTGTATTCTGATTGAATTTTTATGTAAAAGAGGGCCTCTGTCTACTCCTATGGCCCAAGGACTATCAGGTAGTTTCTCGCTACGTCACTGCAGTCAACCATAGCATACAATATATATTTAGACCTTTTTGATGGACCTACACCTATTGTCGGCAATCCATTTTTCCATGTATCATTATGTTTATCATCCATATCAATTATGTGGAAAATGTTATCATTTATAGGTAGGCACCTAACGAATAAATATATGAAATATATAATAAAATGGTTTTTGATTTTTTTCGGTAATTATTTCATATTTTAAAAACAAAAAATTTATGGTATTTTACTTTTATAATAGTTATACCTAAAAAACAAGGGGTTCTAAATTAGGACTTGGGAGAGCTAGAGACCCCTTTTGCACCCCTCCCTCCCCCTAGTTGCGTTAATAGGCATATGAAATTTTTGATTCATATTACTTTTTTTTAATTAACTAATGTCGATATCAAATTTTTCGCAATTTTTTCAAATTTAATATCATAACATTTATTTAGTAATATAATTAGGCTGATAGACTGTCATCACTTAAAATTGTTTTTCATAACAATGGTTATTGAATTCAAATTTAACACATCCATTACAATGACACTATAGACACCTAACGTACAGCAGAGCGTTACCCACTTAACTACTTTTTTAGATTGGTTTGATGTTACAAAGATAGCAATAGAACAGAATATACATTATACAACTTTGTTTTTCAATGATTTATTAATATTATAAATAATTGGTAATTTATAATAATATAACTAATTATCTAAGTAATTACAATTTTGTTGAACACAGACTTTGTCTTTTAGAATATCATAAAAAGTACAAATTGGTAAATTGGTCAATAAACGAATATTTAATAAAATAAAACAAACAATATATTATATTATGGTAGTTAATACTAATTATTCATAATGGAGCTATCATAACAATGAGTAAAACTAATAGAACCACCAAGAAATTAAGGAAACCACTTAGGACTAGCTTAAATCATACCTATCACAGTAATTTGTTTATGTATTTTTGGCAATGAAAAAAAAAATGAACAATACATAAGGAATAATAATAATTCACTGGCAATTAGCATTTCAAATTGTCAATTTCTTAAGTCACTAACCAGTTTGGAATACCAAAATATGCACATTATTTAATTAAATAAAGGTAATAAAAAAATATTATATAAGGTATTGCAAAAAAGAAAAAAATTGAAATGTACTTATGTGTCTTGGTTAGAACATAAATCACAAACTCGAACAGGGTTAGGCCAACCTCGGTGTGGGACTGGTTTCCGATGGTTGGAACAACTGGAACAAACTCCATGGCCACAATCACGACAATGATGCAATATTAAAGTAGATCCGAATTCTGATTTACATATATAACACTCCAATGCCTCACTATCAGGTACCCAATAAGATGGTCTAGCTGTATCTTTAATAAGATCTAAAAAACAAGATTAATTAAACACCGCACTATTAAACAATAAAAATAATAATAATAACATATTACACTAACTTTTTGGATATTCTAGAACAGAAGCAACAGAAGATAATGTTTGAACTACAGCTTCACTAAACTTACGTGCCCCAACTTCGTTCTCATCACCTCGACTAGATGAATCTGAACAATTACTACTTATACTTCCTATGAATGTTTTAAAATAATAGAATTTTATAGTTTATAACTTAAGACAATATAGTGAACAAACCAGATCGTTTATAACAAAAATTGCACACACGAACAGGTGTATTCCATCCTCTTTCAGGAACACACAATGTTCGCTTAGAACATTCGTCACAAACTCCTTCTCCACAAGCTCGACAATGATGTTTTATCGATGTTGAAGAAAATTGTAATTTACAGACAATACATTCCTAATACCATATCAATTACTCTAATTATAATTAATTTATATGAGAATAGGTAAAAAATAATAATGAAAGTTGTTTATGCAACATAAATAGTACCTTTATTTCAGCATTTGGTTTCCAGTATTTAGGTGCAAATTGATCAGCAACCCAAGAAGACAACAAGCGGGATGGTTCATAACTAACACTAGCAACTGTTTCAGAAAGGTAAGTTACTCCATCTAACACTTTTCTAGCGGGATTCATACTTAACGAAGAAGGTAAATCCATCTAAACAAATACATATATACATAATTTAAAGAATGATCTCAGTTAGTTTGATATAAAAAATAGATATAGATTTATAGAAGGATAGTTTGGAAATTCGACAAACTAGGAATTCACATTATTAACTAAAACTGTTAAAATGTATGTAGTCAAATAAATGAATAAACCTCAATTCGTAGTCTATACATTTATTTGTTTGTTGTACACTAAATAATATATCACAGAGTTTAAACTTTCTATTATTAATTATATAAGTCTAGTAAAGTAGTAACCAAGTGGAAAAGAATACATTTAACTGTCAAGTACTCATGTGTTAAGTATATATATATGCAACAAATATTGTAACTTTTTAATGATATTAGAAACATTAAATCTGATCAAATATATAAACAAATTTTAATACATTTTTATTGTAACTTTGATATATTTTTAACGGAGTTAAATCTGGTCTTCAGTTATAATTTAAATAGAGTTGGGCTAGTATTTCTTTGAAAATAATTTTAGTGGAACAATAAATTCTTTGAGTTTGAGTACTTGAAAATTACTTGAGTATTTGAACATTTTCATGGTACACGTAAATTACAGTTCTGTTATTGACAATTGTCAGTTTATTCAGTAGGTATCGAAAAAAATTAAATAATTGGAAAAAATACACAAAAAAAGTATATTAATATAATTTATGTACAAATATTAACACTTACACCAGGCCAGATATGTTTTGTTTCTGTATAAACAACAGATTTTTCTGGATCATTATTTCCATACCAATACTGTTTACTACGATAAATTAAACCACATACTGGACAATCAATGGTATACCTAAATTGTATAATACAATATAATGTACAATAAAATTAAGTATATTTAGTTTATCATCCTTCAAATTTGAGGAATATTTACCCAGACAAGGCATATTTAAGCCAAGAATTTTGATTATCGTTAGTATAATTTGTTGTAACAACAACAGGTGTTCCATTGTCTGCACAAACTTTACAAACATAAACAGAATTTTCAAATTGTGACTGATACCTGAAACATAATATATTTTTTTTTAATATAATAATTTATAATTGATATAATACAAATAAACCGAACTTGTAAATTCCTTCCTTCCCCCCCCCCCCCATTTCTCTAGGATCAAATCAGTTATTCTAGAAACTAAATTTCACTGAACATCACAACTGAACAAAACTGAATCATTTCTTAACCAATACATTATTATTTAAAACTATCACTGATTTTTCAGCTAAAATTAGCAACTAACATTAATATAAATATATATATATATGACTTATACGACATACATTTACTATAAATATAAAGTTATAACTTAATAATTAAGACAGAATAATCATATTTTATAACAATTAAAATTGTATCAAATAACTATAAATAAATAATATATAAAAAGCTAAGTTACAAAATGTTTGTGTTCGAGGCCAAGGTTAATGTGTTAACACTATTATTTTTACATTCTATTAGTTAATCTTTCTCTGACAATAATTCAAACATACAAATATTAAACATAATAATGAACAGTTAGAGTAAACAAACACATAATAGAACTTGAAACACAGTATAATTACCTGCATTTAGAATTGTTAGAATGGGGAATGTTATCTTTTAAATGTCCAACACTATTTGAACACCGCTGTTCACAAGATTGGCATACAGTTGGACATGTTAAATGTTGGTCTGGAAAGAGCGGTTCAATTGAAGTTTTAATAACGCCAGTAAATTTGTCGTTCAATGCCTAGAAAAACAACACACTTTAACTATAGTTACAACATGTATAATTTAATATATTACAATACCTTAAGAGTGAGATAAACAATATGAGGAGACCTCTGAGGTCGATTACAGTTTTTTTTAATTTCTTCATTAAGTACTTCTCTAATTTGACCAAAATCTGTTGGTGGAATTATAGTTTGAATTCCCACGTAACGAAGAGATGCAAATCCATCAATATCAAGTTGTAACTCATGAAATCTATCTTGTATCTGCTCTGAGACATCTTTACCATTATCTTTGAAACACATAGATCTTAATATTGGTATATATTTAAAGGTTAACATAAAACTTACAACAACCTAATGGTTCAGTGTTTCTAGTTTCATGAAAAATACATAATGTTGGTCCTTTTACAGAATCAGCACATTTAATTGGATCAATTGATCTATTACAAACAGTAAGTAAGGCTTTTTGAAAATGTTTTATATATGACTTAGATGCTGAACCAAGAAAGTTAAACATATCATCTTGTAATCTTTCACCCTTAACTCTGTATATAACTACATCTGATACTGCTAAGACCTAGAACAATTAAATAATATTTAATATTTCAATGCAAATTATTATTTAGTTTTAATTTACCTTGAGCAAAAGTCTTGTCCTTTGTTTATTATGGGCAGTTGATCCAGAAAATCCTTCTGTATCTAAACACACAACATTTAAGGATGGATCAAATGCTGCCCAAACTCCTACTGTACACGCTTTTTGTTCAGAAGATGTGCGAAATACCTCTGCACCTCTAAAAAAACATTGGTTCAATGTGTACGACTTTCCATCCCCAGTATTTCCAAATATAGATATTACTTTAACTGGACTAGTACTTTTATATCCATTGAGACGTTTTACAAACGCTTCAACACTAGACACCTATGCAAATGAATATCATAAAAATATATTAAATGTTTAATTAATATCTAATAAAATGAGAACGGTAATATGGGATTAAATAAGATGTGATATAAAAATCTGTTAATTATATCAACATTTTCCTTATTGTTGTTAATCATACCTTCAGTCTTTCTTTCTCATCGAGAAGTAAAAAGCTATGACAATGACCATCACCTTCCTCGTCACTGTCATTGTAATCGGGAGTAAGTTTTAATGATGTAAAATGTGAAGTTAGAGTCACATCTGGTAGACCAAAATCACTGTGAGCCGAAGAAATCGTACTGACAGGGGTCATAATGGCTGGTAACTTGTGTTGGTTCTTCAAATGGCCTGAACGACCATAACAATTGTCATCCATTGACAAGACATCTCTAAAATAATTGAATTTTGTAAGGTAAAACATAGGTTTTCAACATTATATATTGCTAAATTACGCAGTATTTTTTACCTATATACGTTCATGGCTACACACGACACAGGTAAAAGTAAGTGTAAATATTATCATCATTGAGAAAATATATTAAAATGTTTACCTTATGAATGCATTTATTGTCGTGCACTTGCAGTTTAATGTTTAACGATAACGCTCAGGTAACAAAGTAAATTATGTTAAGTGATGATGAATTATGAGGTATAAACTATTTTAATCATAATATGAAGAGCTACATTTCAGGCAACAAAGGAACAACAAAAATTAAAATAAACAATGAAATATAAATTCTGCGTAAAAAAAATATTCTTATCAGATTATCATAGTCTTGTGTTATCACTTATAATAAGAACCAAGGTGAATCTCTGAATCATGTTATCTACCATGATAACATGTTTTGATTATTTGAATGTTCCAAATAAATATTAATTATTATTAAGTAATATAAAGTAAGATAATAAAAATCGTTAACACTAAACAATTAACAAACGGTTCTTGGCTTCTTGGATCTTGCTGATAATTGAAATGGTTGAAAATGTTGAAATAGTTGGATATTCTTATGTTTTAATTGCTATTTATTATTTATTAGTATTGGTGTGTTACTAATGCTATATAATAATAATAATAATGTCTTTAAACATAAATGACATATTTATAGGAGAAGTAAGTTTTTAAAACAGTTTGAATCTGGAAATTAAATTATAAATTTTAATTTCAGTTTCAGTATAGTTAGTTCTATAAATCATGTTATGCATCAAATTAATCACTTTTTTTGGGACCAATTTGAATGAAAATAATTCCAGAAATAACCTGGTAATCACACGATTACTAGTCTATTACATATGGATGTAAATTTTATTTGATTAATTGAACACTGGTAAACCCATTTTTTTTTTTTTGTATAAAATTATTTTTTATTATTTGTATTGCATGTTATCTATCAAAATTAATTTTTTGGAGCCAGGTCTTAAGGGCATTTTTGAAATTTTTTCACAATATCAAAAACCAAGCTATAGGTACTCATGATTTAAAACCTACAGCAAATTAAAAAAAAGTATTGAATAAAAATATTGCAAATCACCATACTTATAAGTTGTAATCTAAATTTATATTATTATTCAATAGGTACAAATAATAAAGAATTCGCTTTGTATAAATTATAATAAATAAAATGTGGTGCAAACAGAGAAAAGGCATTATTTATAAGAGTATTGTAATAATATATAGTATATACTGGTATCCTAGTACTTATACTACTTATACTACAATCACTCATAATTTTGTTATTGTAATATTACAAATAATATTTTAACCTGGTATTATTTTACTTTATTTTAGGAATTTAGGTACTTACTACGTAACTTTAAAATAATATATTAAAATACTATTAATAGTTGAGAGATAAGAAACTTAAAATATATAGTATATTAAGTATTTTTTAATTGTAATTTTAGGTTGCCTCTGTCCAAAATTATGGGGCATTTATTAGAATACCAGGAAATAAGCAACAAGGTCTTGTACATCGCACACAATTGTCTAGAGTGCCTGTGGATGATGCCACAGATGTTTTATCGAAAGGTGATAAAATATGGGCTAAAGTTATTGGAACAGTAAGTTAATTAATTTGTTATGCAAGTATTTTATTAATAATTTTATAAATTATGATGTAGGATGATGGAAAGATTTCTCTTTCTATGAAACTCGTTGATCAAGGTAGCGGCAGAGATTTAGATCCCAATGGAGTTCAAATGTTGTGAGTTATAACTTTATTAATGATCAAATTAAGAAATAATGATAATACTTTCTATTATTTATGCCTTATCATTTAGTCAAGATGAACAAAGAAGAAAGATTCAACCCAATTCCAAGGGTAAAAGAACAATTCAATTAGATGCAGTTTACAACACAAAGTGTGTGAGATGTGGGACTGGTGGACATTTAGCCAAAGATTGTTTTAAAGTATGACATTTAATTATAGTTAGTTAAATATATTATCAATAATATGTTAATTGCAGGGTACATCTGGGAAAATATATGACCTTTTGCCAGAAGATGATGAGGCTGAGGCATTACACATAGTACCTATCCAATCTGAAAAGTCTGAAGTAGTGAACAAAGATGTCTTATCAACAAATGAAAAAAACAAGAAAAAGAAAAAAAAGAAAAAATCTAGCGAATCAAAGAAAAAAAAGAAGAGGAAAAGACATTTATCGTCATCTTCGTCAAATGTAAGCCATCAATTCACTGTTGCGTTGTCAAAATGGAGTTAAGTCAGATTTTGTAGTTTTAAAAAAATCTGATCTAAAGATTACCCCATTTTTGGCAATCTTTCCCTTTATTAGTCAGATTGATCTCCTAAAATCTTATCTAACTCCTATTGGCCATGCTCCAGAGAATTGATGATTTGAGATTTAATTCAATTGAACTGTTTAAAAAAAATATCGTTTTTTTAGAGTTCCAGTTCTGATGAAAGTTCAAAAAAAAAATCAAAGAAACACAAAAAAAGAAAAAAGAATTAAGAAAATACTTTTTATACTACAAATTTTCATATAATTTATTGATTAATAATTTAGTTTATTTTATTTTATCTTAAAAAGCTAATATTTATTCTATTTATTAATGTATTTTTATTAGTGAATAAGCTAAGTAGTTGACTCATTAATTTCCCCATCTTTTAATTGAATTTAAATTTAAATTTTTAAATTTAACCAATCAAACCTAACAGTTTTTAAAGTGTCTGATCACAAATCGTTGTTTTAGATTTTGTCTTTCAATAAATAGCCTAATCTAGTTTATCCATTGTCATACGCCTAATTTACGTTTATTTTAATAAATAATTTGGGTAATTGTTCGTTAATAATTTTTATAACTCAACCAGATGCCATTCTTATTTGTTGTCGTCCTCCCATCTGTATAATCAATACTTGTGTTTTTTATAACACTCATCGATAACTTTTCTTATAATTCAATGGTTCTTGAGAATAATGTTATATTACTAAGTGGAGTGTTGGGTAATTACTTTTCAAAATTAATAAAATTACGTTACACGTTATATTAAATATTTTTATTTAAATTACATTTACATTACCTGACATAACTTTTATCACGTTACATACATTTTCATTCAATAAGTGGGCGTGTTACAAATAATGTTCCTTTTTTTACAAAATCAGTCCATATAATGAATACGGAGTACAGACTAATAAGTAGTAGGTATACTAATACTACTCAGCAGTGGCGTGGCGTGGGTTGTGAGTGAGCGTAAGCACTGGTACATATTAATTACCCTCCCTCCTTCTACACTGGTACATGCAGTTAATTTAGTTATACATTTTACAATTTTACTTAAAAAAAACATATCATAAATAATAAAAATATTTTATTTATACATCAAATTGATTCTTATTTTTTTAGTGAAATCGTCAATTACATTATCATAAAATTAATTTTGGTTTTGAATTGTTGTCAACAATCGTTTCTCAATTGTCAAAAGAGACAGATCTGAAAGTCTATTTTGGGACTGGGAGTTTCTGAGATGTGTCTTTATTCTTTTTAAACAGGAAAATGAGCTTTCAGCACCTGCATTTGTTGCTGGAATGGTTACAATCAATGATGCTAATTTTGTAACCTGAGGTAGGCTATCTGATAAGCCAGTAGATTTGAGATACATCCAAAGTTCATGAATGTTTATAACCTTATGAAATTCAGTTGATGAGTATATAACAGAAAGCTCACTACGTAGAATTGCAAAATCAAAATGTTCACCATATTTATTTTTCAACGAGTCCATTGCAATTGTAGGAAATTTGCTGATATACTGTTCAAATTTTGAAAAATCTAATAAAGAAAAAAATGTTAGTTGAGTTAATTCTGTAAATCTTTCATTAATTTTTGAAATCAATTTCGATGATTTCAAAATAGAGTCTTTGGTAATTAGTTTTTCTATCTACAGATACTTCAGTCACTCTTTGCCTTTTTGATCTTAACAGCAAATCTGTATGATACTGTTTCGATTTCAACCAAATATGTTCAAAATCATTTTTCATATTTTTTAAATAGTTTAAAAAATCAAATACTTTTTTATTACAATAAGTCATATCAAATATTTTTGTTTGTATTATATTCAAAAGTATTGTTGCTTGAGGTAAAATGTTTCCAAATATTAAAAGAAAAAAATTGAAGTCAAAATCTTGAATTATATGAAAAAATCCTTTAGCGCATAATAACGTTTCACTATCCCATTTTTCACCGTTTTCTATGATTGAGTTCATGAGATTTAAAACTTCTTCTCTGTACTCAGACATCATTTCAATAAGTCTACTATTATAATTCCAATGTGTTGGAGCCACAGACGGAAATCTCTTTTTGACTTCTTGATCAAGTGCATGAATTATTTTTGTTGATTTTGAGAAAAATGATGAAAGTCCAGAGAGCGTGGTGAAAAATATTTTACATTCTTTTATATAATCAACAGAATAACAGATTGTTTTAATATTAAATTTAATTTATGAGCATAACAATGTACAAATATCGCGTTTTTACATTTTGAGCGAACTAATGTCTGTAAACCGTTATGTTGTCCTGACATGACGGCAGCCTCGTCATAAGTCTGTGCAACCAATTTATCTATGCATTTATATTCATGTAATAAACGAAAAACATGCTCAGCTAAACACTTAGCAGAGCGATCATGACTGACATCTACAAATCCCAAAAATCTTTCTTCTACCCCTTCGTTAGTCACATATCGTAAAATTGTAGATAACTGAGATTTGGACATAATATCTGTTGTTTAGTCCATAATTATAGAAATGCAATTTGTATGTTCAATTTCGTTTTTGATAGTTTTTAATAAAATATTAGAAATCGATTGAATGAGATCATTTTGTATGTCCCCAGAGAGTCCAGAAAAAACCGTAGACGTCGATAGGTGTCCACTTAATTTTGGATTGAGTGTACCCATTAAGTGTATTAACTCAACATAATTTTCACTGTTGATAGAGGTGACTTGTTCCTCATGTCCGCGAAATGAGAGCTCTTGTTTTGCCAAAAAACATGTAGCATCAATTAATCGACTTAAAACGTACCTATTATTTTTAACAGAATCATTATGTTTTTCGATGCTTTGTTTATATGCATCACTAAGACATGTTTCTATTCTAATATTACCAAATTTCTTTAAAGTAATTAATGATTGAATATGAGAGCGGTTTGTTTCATGACGATGTTTTAAATTGTGATAGTTGTTTAAATCACTACAGCCATACTTAGACCAAGTATTTGATTCATGCGAAAATAAAATACACGGTCAGCAATATAATTTTTGCGTTTTTTGACAACCAGACAACCATTTGTTAGTATTATAATAAGAAGGATTAAAGTAACGAAAATTGTTTTTACATTTTGATTTCAAATCCTGAAGTGTTGGTGTAGGTCTCCCTTTATTTATAATATTTTGCTTTTCAATAAAAGTATTTGATCTAAACGATTTTAATAGTAATTTTTCAATAATACAATTACATTCGTTATTACCTGAAGAACTTGCTTGTAGCCTGTACTAAGTAGTATAGGTAGTAGGAGCAATAGGCATTAACTTATTTATATGTAACTAAATCAATAATTAAACATTTTACATAACTACCTAGTCCACCTTGGCCCTTTAGTATTTCATAGAACATTTTTGTTTGTTGTAATTCGTTGATTCGTGGTTAAGGTTTCATACATCATATATTTGTTTAACTTCGTGTGCCAAATCAATCAAAAATTACTTTGAAAGTACCCCAACAATTTATTCTGACAGTTTAAGATATAATCCTTATTTTTATACACCAGCATATTAAGCTTTCCCGGTTTGAAAAAATGTATAGCACCAAGTCTAACATATTGGTTAGTTATTGGTATCAATGTTCTTTATGATAGATTTGGCACACTAATTATTCTATGAAGAATTACAAGTACAAACTTACGCGGACTTTCAAGAAGTGGTTGTAGACTTATGCGTTATAGTAAGGAGACTTGTGTATTGGTAGTAACTGTATGATTTCCATGAGATTCGTTGAATTATTAGATTTGTTTTTAAAGAGTACCTATTTTACGCAAAATAAGTATTGATTATATAGGTAGAAATAACAAACCAAAATCAAGATTTAATTATTTAATTTTTGATTCAAAATATTGGTTCAGTCTAACCTCTAACATCAAGGCAATTATGACTTCATGGAGCCTGAGTTATTGTGAAATATGTATATACGAATTAGTGAGTTCCGCCGGATGAGGATTCTCCAAAGACCTGTTACTTTTTTACCCGAATATTTGTAGGATCCATGTTCGGTTTAATAATATGTAATTGCTTTGAGCCAAACTCCAACAAATTTTTTATTTTTTAAAAAGGATAATAATATAATATATACACTATACAGCAAAATATTATAAAGTACCTATAGTTTATTTTCAGTATATTTTATTTACTAACCGACACAATGTGAACCAATTAGATTAAGCCATAAGGTGTCATTTTTTGTAAATACATTAGGTATTTAACGGAGGATAAATACATAAATCAGGTTCTATACTTCTATCGGTTCCGGATACTTGTTTAGTACACCATAATATTATTATTAAATTTGAATTACGGATTTTATGAAGATATTTTTAAAAATCATTTATCCTTTATACTCAATATATGTAATATAGGTAATTATATTTTCGATGTCTGATTTCCACTCATATCGAGTAATGAGTATAGGTGTAAAGTGATGATGCATTCAATTGTTGAATAGTTCAACTCGACAAACGGATTAATATAATTAAATTTTCCTTTTAATGTCACGCTGCGAACAAAATAATATTGTTGAATACATTCATTGTACCAATAAAAAAAATTTATAATCCCACAAACAAATCATTATAATTATTATAATAATTGAAATTGGACATGGTATTATTAGTTATTACATTTGTAATTTCGGCGACACTATTGATAAGTCATAAGTATTGGCAGTAATCATTGTCATATTGGGAACGGCGAAAATATTTTATGTGATTAGTAAAGTAACACGTGGTCGGGTTGACCTCGTTACGTATAAACTATCTAAGAAAGGTGGTTGAACTGTTAAATAGGTTCCTACTACCTTGGTAGAGGATTTATAAACAGTAAAGGCGTGTTTCCGGTACGCGAGTACGTTCATACAAATCCTTTTGCTGTGATTGATTGGTTTGGTTAACTTACCACACGATTAACATTAACGTGCTTTTGGGCATACCTGAACATTTTTCGTGTACGCGGCACCCGAGTATAGTAGAAATCCGCTTTTAAGGTAGGTTAGGTTAGGTTACCTAGCCGGGCTAGTCCAACAAAATTATTTCGACTATAGTCAATTTATTAATAACTTCAATAATGTGTACAAAAATACTAATAATATATACATAGAAAAATTGTTTATTAATTAAGGTACCTAATACATAAGGGTAGGTATTTAAATTTTAAGTACCAGTAACAATAATAATATAATAAAAAACAAACAAACGTCCCATATATTGGTTATATACTATTTATAGTGTAATATACATGTACATAATAATAATATAATGTACTACCTATGTTATCGATATATTGAACATGTAACACGATTAAAATAAAAAAAAAAAAAATAAAATAAAATAAATGTTTAATAATAGGTACAACAGAGGACAAGACCGATTTGTCCGATTTCCATTCCACAGTCAACTTTTTATGATACCAATATAAATTGTAATATGATACATCATAATATATAATTTATAGTGTTAATAAAATTCTTATTATAAATAATTAAAATTTATACGAATTAAAATTATCATAATATAATGTATATGCATATAGTATTAAATATTTAAATGTAAATGTTTTATTTAACCCTGCGACGAACATAATATAAGTTAACAGTTATTACCTACTTACAAGAGGTAGTAAAATGTAGAAATTTTCATATAGTTAATTGTACAAACAGTTGATAGGAAATGCCGAAATGGTACTCAAATACAGCATGTAAAAGTTTGTGTTTGTCTATGATATTATTAGGTATGTTGCATCTTTTAAATGCAGTTTTAATAAAATAACTACAGCAATCAATTGTATCACAAATTATTTAACATTGGAATACACATCTGTATTCTGTATACTAGTTATCTTGACATCTTGTCCCCATCACTTACAATAAATTAAAATATTATATTAAAATAATTATTAATTACATTATTGTATTATCATCTCTCGTCAATAATGATTTTTCCCATGAAAAATTGATAAATATTTGTTACAAAACCTAATATTGCTAGAAATTATAGTACATTATGATATAGACATAGGTAATTACTCAGTGGTGTCAGATTCGAATGAGAGAATATAGTTGAAATTAATTTTAAAAAAATGTCGAGTGCAATAAAAAAATGATCACATTATGATTAATTACCAACTAGGTAGTGTTTTATATTTGAGGTGCAAAAACCGCACTTGGGCTTGTATACATAGATTTCAGAATATGATATAAATATATTTATACAACATTTTCTTCGAGTCGTATATAGTATATAAAATATGAGATCCAGAGAATAGGACTAACAGGTTTTTATTTTCCAAAAAAGCAACAAATTAACATCATGGCCATTGCCTTCCTCCAGAATAATGTTTTTCTCCGGTTTTTCATTCACGTAAGTCGGACTTGATTACATTACTTAATACTTAATACTATTTTAATTTATATTATTATACAATTATTTGGAGCAATCGATATATCTTGGAATAATATAATAATATAATATATATCATAACGTCTAAATGAGACGTTTCAATTCAACGTCCACAATTTTTTTTTCTTACAGTATTTTACGGATCATTGGTTGGCTATTTTTGACAATTTTCATAATTAATAAAAAGTAAGAGCTTGTATTTAATTCATGTTGCAAAATAATTACTGGATAATAATTCGTATGCAATTCTATGAAATTGTTTCTATGAAAATTAATGTACTCATGTACTAGTGTTATATTTTAGAAATATCACTTATTAGTGTACGTTTTTAGATACGAATCGTATACAACGGACTGGTAAGAAAAACGAGACAGCGTTGGTAAATTAATATAGACAAGTACTTGAAACGAAAAGAAATTATTGGGTCGGGCAATATGTTGCACTATTTATATATTTAACAACTACTGTAGGTACCTAATTATTATTTCGACGGTTAAGCGCGCACATGTAGAATAGGTAGGTATTTGGTGTAATTTTAATTTAATTTTATTGTATTGTATATTTGTATTCCTTTCTTCTACAAGAAGTTTTTTTCAAATTAATTACAACATAAATTTTGTAGTGAAAACATATTTAATATTAAATTCCCAACAAATTTCAAATGAGATTTCCGAAAAATGAAAAAATGTGTGCACTTAACCATTGACGTACCATTTCACATACGTACATTATGCTGGTAAGTTGTGAGCTCGCCTATAATATTATACTACGAGCAAACTTACACTTCAATACATTACTTCATTCGTCGTCGTCGTAAAAATTGTTGACGCCGGCGGCGTGACCTCGGTAGTTGGGTTCGAAATACTTTCTCAGATACTCGGGCCGTTCGCCGGATGCCACTTTGGCCGCGGCGCCCTGCAGATGACTATGCTCTTTGGCGATCGGAAATCGGTATTCGTCCTGCAGGTGACCGCGATGATTTAGGTCACCGTCGGCATGGCCGTCGTCGTCGTCGTCGCTACCACTCTTGGCGGGCCACTCGAAGTGGGTCTCGTGAGACGTGGCCGGAAACTGCAGGGGCGCGGGATAGTATTCTTCCGGTGACGCGCTGCCGTAGTCGCCGTGGGCGGTGGGCAGACCAGCGGCGAAGAGCGGTGGCAGCGGAGAACCGTGTTCGAAGTCTGTCGGTTCCGGATGCACCGCCGGCTGTTCAAAGTGATGATCGCCGTGACCGGCCGGTACAACCACCTGCAGCGGTGGTACGTAGTGATCGTAAGCCGGGCTGGGCGACGGCGGGTGCTGGAAGTGATTGTGCACGGCAGGCACCAGCGGCGGTTCGTAATGATTGTAAGCGGACGGCGGCAATTGCTGCTGCTGATGGTGATACTGATGATTGTCGTAACCGTGCACTGGCAGTTGTTGGTACTGATTGTCGTAACCGTGCACCGGCGGTTCGTAGTGACCGTTGTAAGCTGGCGACTGTGGCGGTTCGTAGTGATTCAAGTAAGCTGGCGGCTCGTACTGATGACTGTCGTGGACGGTCGGTAACGACGGCTGCTGCAGATGGTGATTATAGTCCAGATCACTTCCGTGGTAGTTGGGCGCATAACCGCCTTCGCCGCTGTGGTGGCTATTAGCGGTGTTGAGGTGATGGGTCACCGTGGTCGGGTGATGCGAACTTCCGATCTTCTTAACCGTGGCCTGGAAACCGTTTTTCGCGTCGGCCGTATACTCGACCAACCTGATCGAGCCGTCCGGTTCCACCAGGCTGTAGTAGCCGCGCACCGTGTCCCCGTCCCTTTCCTCGTACTGTTTTTTTATGTCGCCGGTTTGAGGGTCGTGGACTCCGTACTCGAAGCGGTAAGCCGGATACGACTGCGCGGTGCGGACAATGTGAAAATCAAAAAAAAAACCATAAACATTATTATTTATATTTTTAGGCGATATATATGTTATTGGCATGGTGAATCTGTGGCGACGGCCACAACTTCAGACCTATTTTTCTGAGAATATTTCTTTAATGCCTTGAGTATGTTACAGACTTTTAATAACTCTGTTTCTGGTGGTCGAGGATGGAGCGTGTAAAGGTATGTTTTAAAATCAAACATTAATATTTAATAATATTATTTATAGGTAGGTTGTCGGTATTATAATGCGATATAGGTAGGTACTTATATGTAGTTACATATACTATGAATTAGGAATACATTCTTCTTTCTCACCAGAAACATGTCAAGTCGATATTTCTAATTGGCAATTGCCTAATTCGAGTTTTACCGCCCACTAAACAATGACCACTAAAAACAGGAAAAAATTGTATACCTATAGTCCTACATGTACTATGGTGTATTGGGACTAGTTTTTCGGTTGGTCAGATCTTTTAGAAAATTGGCCTGGACGTCCGGTACCACTGATAATGGCACATAGGTAATTTTATATTTTCGATCCGCACTACACAATAAAAAGGTATTTTATAAATATAATGTATTACACTGCATATGTGCCTATATGCATGGCACGACTGGGCGAGCCATTTTTAAATTCGATATAATTCTATCAGTCAATTTTAATGTATTAAATTTCACGGTTATTGAAATAAATATCTACTATAAAAATAATATGTTGCAATAAGTTTTTTTTCGGAAAATTTTATATGTCAGACTATATTATAGTGTTTGAAGTTTAAACCTTTAAACTGCCATATTGTGATTGTTTTTAAACTGTGCTTTAGAATTAGAATTTAGACACCTAAACGTTTTCCTTTATACTGCAAAACCATTAACATGGTATACTCCTATATAGGTAAATATGGTCGTTCCACCAAACTATACTAAGAACCTTACAAAAATACAAACCATAGATAACACCCGTAGAAGCCATGCCAATAATATTATAAATTATAATAAATAGGTATACCATACGGTATAATATAACGGTCATTGGTCAGGCACAGATATTATGGTTTTACCTAGTCTCTAGGCCCAGAAGCATCTATAGATTGTTAGGGCACCCAGTCAACGATGACCTAATGAACCATCCAACATAAATCATACCTAATATTTTTCTAAATTATAACTACCTTTGAAAAAGCATCTTTAATCTATTTATTTAATAAAACAATTATATTGTTAGGTACCTATATGGCTACATTTATAATATTACATTGTTGTTTTGACGTAATTAAATGTGACGGGGATAACACGGTTAGTGAATCTCCGAAACTCGAGGAGTCCCTAGTATAATATAATTTAAAAATAAAAAGATTGTTTATTTTTAATCTTTCTTCGTATTTTCTTTTCCAATATGGACCTATATTATTAAGAATATATACAAAATAATATAAGCCTGGGCCTCTACAAGAGTTTCTTTAAGTGTGGCCCAGTAATTTCACTGATATTAATTTAAATTAAAAAAAAAATATGAACCACTAAAATGGGAGGAGTAATTAGCATAACTATTGTCGCCAATAAACATTCCCAAAAAGCTAAAGGTGCCTACTGCTTATATTTTATCTTTACTTGACATAGATTAATCTAAGAAAAGGAAGAAGAAGAAAACCAATACTATGTTTGATGATTATATGTATCTATACCAGATATCAGTATCTATATTATTTATTATGCGTAATATAAACCTATATTTTTTAGTTAGAATTATCATTAAAATTTGTTTTTTAAGCATTTCAAATGCGCAACGCTTGAATAATATTATACTTTTTTTACGTTACAAATATTATCTATGCACGGTAGCACGATATTATAAGTAATTAATTTGACAGGATAGTATTCAAAAATTGACCAATTTGTGAATATGACAATTTCACAACTAGGGCAGTATAACGTGTCATAATATGTAAACAAAATATATTATATTAGATAAATAATATACAAGCACGCGGACGCTTTAAATATTACGCATAATAGAGGTAGTGTGACTATAGTGTGAGTAGTAGGTATGTAATGTATTTTGTCTTAATCCGTCACCGACTAGTGACTTGTCTCACAATATTCACGTGTCGTGCGTGTGAAATGCATGTATAGGTACGAACTACAAGAGATACCTATATAGCTGATATTATATTATACGAAATGCGGACGACGATGGTGTGACTGGTAAATCGCGTCAAGTACTCAAGTAGAACGCGTGCTAATAATTCAATTACACCTGTATAATATCATTATTCATTACAATATTACTATTATTAACAATAATATTATATAGGCACCGGCTCGTGCGAGTGTATACCTACCTATATAAAATATTAAATTATATGGGTGTATTGTGCTCACACATCTATATCATTATATTATCATACATTGTGTTCTGTCTCCGCGGGGACGTCGTTTTGTTGTGCGTTTCGAATGTACAAAGTGTATCTTATTATATTATTGTACCCACTTGTCTGCGTATGTTCCGTCGGGAATTTCAAAAACTGCTGTTTTACTTCGTTAAAAAAAAATGTCACCTCCGCTGAGCCAACTATAGGTGAGGTACTAGTTTATGGGTAGGGGTACTATGGGTTGGATAACGGCAAACATATCATAATATTATACCATACATTTTATTTTTTTATATTTTGAGTAAGTTTTTTAATCACAATATCGGCCAGGTCAATACGAAAAAAAAATCCGTGTATTTTTACATAATACTAAATTATTATTATTATTAGCTAATATGTGTAAACTAACATATGTATATTTTATCCATGTACAACGATTAATATTACTATGTTCTATATTATTTTAGTCAAACGGATGTCTACTTTTTTTTATGTACCTACCCGCGAAACACACGTCCATTTGAATTATTGTATGTATTATGTTATTATATGGCGTGACGACGGATTATATATTATATTATGTACTGTGTATCATATACGATATTATATAGTACGTTCAGCCGTTCAGGGTTTTAAATGTATTGTAATAATAATTATAATCCGTTCAAAATGCTTTTTAATAAGCGACGCCATCCGGTAAAATACACGCTTTTAGTGAACAAAAGATTTTACCTATATATATTATTATATACTATATTATTAAACCTATTATATTAGCCGTTTGTATATGTATACATTGTTATTATGTACCAGTTCACCTACCTACGTACCAAGTACCTAACAACTATACATACTATGTGTATGTTTTACTTTTACGACACATGTGAGTCTTGGCGTGCTTACTTTGATAGGTTGTTAAATTGTTTAGTTTAATATTAACTTATTCGTAAATATTATTATTGTATACAGTAATAAAATGCACCTAAATGCTTAACTTGACGATTATTATGTTTTCGATACGCGTAAATTAGTAGTCGTTACAAAATGTTGAAACACATCAATTTCACGCTCTTTCACGCAACTTCGGTTCGTAAAACTACTAAAACATAATTCGCACATTTTTTTCCAAAGATTTTATTCATATTTAATTTTTGAGCGATCGATACATTATTTTCCTATGACTATACATGATTGTGAAATCAAATCATTAAATTGTCACAACGCCAATCACAATTAGCTGTTCTATAATACATTTGCATGTACCTATAATCTATATACTGCAGATTGAGGGCACTACAACTACATGCGATAATGAATAATAATAGTATTTAATAACTAATAAAGTAATGCTAAAATCTATTTTAAACTTAATTTCCGAGAAACGATTTATATGAATATGATATTATATATTGGTAGAAAATCACGGACATTAGAAACCAATCCGAATATAAAACATAGTAACGAGGGGAGAAGAGTAAGACAATTGCAGGAGAAATTATCAGAAGATGTGCTCGTAAGTGAAATGGTTACTAAGGTATGCGCCAATAATTTTTGTGGATGTCTAATGATCATTCTGCAGATACCTGTTGACAACTAGTAAAGTACCTACTTGAGATATAATAATCATAATTCATTAAAAATAGACAATATCAAAAGATGATTGATAATTATTCAATGCAATAATGAATAGGTACCTCTAATCATAATTTTGAATATTTCGATAAAATACATTTCTACTATACAAATTTATAGGTAAGTACTAATTTATGTATGGTTTTTAGTTAATGGAAGTAGATGAGTATAGTAAAAATAGTCTATCCGACTATTCAAACTGTTTTAATAATATTTGAATTTTGATTTTGATTTAATTATATTTAATAGTTTAATAGTTTAATAGTACTTATTTAATGACAAATATTTTTATTTGTAAACTATTTTGGTTCTGAATAAGGAACACGTTAAAAAAAATATTTTAATAAAAACATAATATTTATTATTTACTCAAGTATATAAGTACATTTTATAGGTTTTTGTTAGGACAATAATTCATTCGAGTCCGAACCTTTAGGTTCATTAGACCTAAGTAACTTTTAAGTACTTGGTTACTCCATCGTAGGTATTTGAGTATTTTTACAACTTCATAAAAGTATAAAATTATTCTTTTCTAGTGTATTAATAATGCATTTATAAATTATAAAAGTATATAGATCTGACTACCGTGTCGTTTTATCGTAACTTTATGGGAAAATATTATGCTCCCTAATGGCTCCTGCATTAGATATAATATGATATATTTAGTACAATACCTGAAATAAATGTTCATATTATGTGGTGTTTATTTTTATTTTGTATAGACTTACATAATGATCATGGTTGTATTCTGGTGCGTAATAATCTCTTTTTGACACCTTCTTATCACTTGAATCGGTGTTATATCCATGTTTAGTGGTTTCTACGTTTTCCGCTAAACATGTTTGTAAGAATAGCCCAAAAACAAATAATAACGTCTGAAATAAATAATCATCAAATTAATATATGTTTTTTTCAATTTGCATAGTTTTTTTAATGTCGCAAAATAATTGTGATCGATGATTCAATCAATATTTTTTATTTTGCAACAAATGAAATGTAAAGTATTTTTATTGGCCTACGTTTCTTCATTTATAAAAATAATTGAATTAATCCGTAACGTTTGTACGTCCATGGAAATAAAAAAAAATATTTTGATAATAATAACGAAATTAATAATTCACCTACGTAGCTATAAGGTCAATGATGGTCAATTATAGATTAATAACAGTTCCGCTAAGTTAGATTCAAAATTCAAATCGTCTGTGTGCTGTTAAAAAAACCATATCTGATTTAATAACTCTTGCTATTGTCAATAACCTTGTTTTTTGATACATTTAAAAATTTATTGTAGGTATCTAAGATATGTTTTAATTTTGCATTCAGTTTAGAAATTACAGACTTAAATTATTAGTTTTTCTATATATTGTAAATTGTGCACAGTTCAGTAAATCAAACATAAAGTAGTCGAACCTATTACGTATTAATCATCTATATTTGAAATCTAAGTTTAAACATTTTCTCGTTTGATTTAATTTTTAATTCAGATATAAGATTCTAAGCAAGGCAAGAAATATATATTTCACAATGACTAGAGTAAAAACTACTGTATTGTGTTAGGTTAGGTACACAACGACAATTGAACACGAGTACAGATCATCAGATCTCTGTAATATAGGCTGTAGTATCATACAATTTGGAAAAGTTTTTTTTTGCGATATAATTATTATAGAAGCTATAACTGACTGAATGATATCTTAATAATTATAATAGTAACAAGCAGCATTTTATTTTATTTTTTGACAGTTGGTGATTAGGTAATATAGTACCTGAAGCCTAAATTTTTGATTGGCATCCCACAAAACAATACGCAATGCCAATACAATTTGATTCCTATTTTAATAAATCTAATTAAGAATAAATATAATTATTATATTATTGTATTATCATACTGGCATACTGTACTCTATTTAATACCATTATGGCCTAGTTAAATCTTAACCGATTAAAGTATTTTGATATCAACACTTTATATTAAATCCGACAAATTTAAATAACTATGTTCTGTGTCAGTTTTTATTTTTATAGTTGTATGAGTAGCATTTATTTATTACTGTAATTTGATTTACATTATTCACACTGTGGCTGTGTAAATTCAAACAATGATTTTGAAAGTATTATCCATTGTATACTCAAGACACAATTATAATTTGATGTTTTATATAAAACACTTTTATCTTAGATTTCTATCATAAACCTATTTATATTAATAATTTCATATTTTTGTCCACAAAAATAGATGGATCAAAAATGATTCTGTTCTGTAAAATCAACCAAATTTGGTTATTTTATTTTTTTAGCTCATGGACAGTTGCAATTAACCTATGTATAAAGATGGTTACATACCATTATTTGAAATAAAATAAAAAAAGGGAGTTCAATGGGGCCTATAAGAAGTCTTCTTATTTCAGATAAATAAAATCATTATCAAAATCTGAAAATCTACAAGGCCTTAGAATTTTTCCTGGGAAGTCATTTTTTCGATGAAATAGATCGTATCAATCCCCTCTAAATTAGCACCGGACAGTAGATTAATAGAAAAGCATTATAATTAAGTTATTATATAAAATATAATTTTCAAATTGTATAGAATTGCAGAAAATTTGAAAATTTGGCTCCGGGCCTATTATTCCTTAAGTAAACATTTAAATGGATTTTATTTTAATTTCGAAGTATTTCAAAGTATTTAAGTTAGTAATAATATAATTAACAAACTTATTAAGCAACACATTTGTATTAAAATATTTCACAAACACTGTATCGAATTAACATATTATCAACAAGTGTGGACCTAAACAATTATTTATAGGAATGTATGTATACGATTGTAAGGTTATTTAATGTGCAATACACGATATAATCGTAAACATAGATATGTTTAGTTACAGTTACCCTTAAAATTGATTTGTTATCAACAAATCAAAACTCATATTTTCATCATATGCAACCATATCAAAAATGTTTAATTATATTTTACAATTGGCATTTTTTCTTTTTATTATTAGTTAGATAAGTATCTATATTTTATACTATTATCAAATTACCTAACTATTATTCGTTGAATTGTATAATTCGTGTTATATCGATTCACATCAGATAACTTGTTAACAAATTATAAGAATTAGCTTTATATATTATTTTACTATTTTATGTCTAGTAGTTGCCTCCTAATTTGATTTGTAACAAAATTATCACTTGTCGAATAGAAATAATGCAATTGTTACTGTATGTTTGTATATACAATGTACCCAAAAAGTAGCTTAGTAATAATTATAAAATAAATAATTATGTTTATAGTTATAGTAATAATTCAAGAAATATATAACAAAATGAAGAATTACTATGTAGGACGTAGATATATTTATTTACTTAACTCATTAGCTTCTTAATAAAGAGTAACACTAATTTATTTTCTACGAAGCATTATCAACATATGATCCATATAGAAATTGTTAGTATATTTGTTATTTATTTATTCTAGTTATTAATATTAAATTAAATTATACAATGTACCTACCAAAATACATAGGTTCTTTGTCAGAAACAAATATAGTGTTAATAAGTCACAGAATAATCAAAAAATGTTATAATAATATAATATCGATGAATAAAATTTAAAACTTAAAATAGCTGGTACCTAAAATAAAATAAAATATTTAAATTTATGTTATTTGATAATTTACAATAAAAAAAGTTACTTGATTGAATGTACCTATAGTATAAATATTTTATAGTTTTTAACTTATACAACAATTATTGTATATTATAAATTTATATACGTAACTTTTTATTTTGTTTTTATTTTTAATATACAACTAAATATACGAAAACGATTTTACAAACCTTAGGGTCTCTCATATCTCCACGTCTCCGGAATGTATAAAAGTATAACAAATAATTTTAAAATCTTATAACATTTTAAAGAAAATAAACGGTTTGAGAAGTACTTTTTAACCAATATGAAATCAAATCAAAAACACGTGTAAAAAAATAATAACAATGTAATAAATTATTCAAACCAAACGTCCAATCACTTCCACGCGACTATTCATGACGTTATTTCCCGCCGACACTAATATATAGTTCTCCTTCTTAGCTTGTTTTCACGTCCTTGCTCCTACCAAATATTGGCACCCAAACAACAATAAAATGAAAGAACAAAAAACGATGACCCGCTATGATGAAGTACTCAATTCTTAAATGGTCTATCTATCGGTTGAATGCTCTTAGGAGTTAGGACAGATGAGAGCGATGTGTTGAGACAATGATGACTGATGTGGATGATCAATTTCGTATTGATGCGTGTAACATTTCAGCTAATCAATAACTTTATCGCCCATGAGGGATATCAGTTCTATATCCAAATATGTAGGCCGCTATTACGTTTTAAAAACTTATTAAATACTAAATACAATCGCTTAGAGCTTTTAAAATGAATAGGTTGATTCGTATTTTTTTCTACATCGTAACCTGCAGAAGCATAACCGATAGTTTGATAGTTATTTGTGAAAAGTGGATCTAGTTGGTACTTCTGAAAGATTTAGTATAATACTAAGTTTCTCATAAGTTTTGAGTAGTATAATTTAAAAAAATTTTTAAAAAATAAAATGAAAAGGTTGAACGATAGATATGTTTGAATGTGTGATCGTAATGGTAGAATACAAAGAAGAAGAAGAAGAATTTTAAAATAATGTTGAGCTTAAATTCAAAAAAAAAAAATGTTATAAGCGCCTATAGTAAAAAAAAATTGACATTGGATATTCAGCCATAAATTAAATATTTCTCATCAAAATATATTTTTATTTTATTGTAATAATTCAAAAATGAATAACCCCTTAAAAAGGTACTTGAAATTTCCATCAAAAGTTTATTTTATAATTTTCAATGTAACATAATTTTTTTATTGACATTTAAATTTACAATTTGGGCGAAATTATAAATTTTAACAAAGAATCAAGTTTTAGTTGTTTTTAAAATGCAATGTTTTCGAGAAAAATTAATTCAACCTACTGGAGTACTATAGCCATAATTTTGTTTCGGGGGTAGGGAGCTACAATATTGTATTGCTAAGGTTAGGGTACTGCCGGATTTTTATAATATATGAAGTTAGATATTCCAGAGGGGGGGGGGCTTAAATAACAATATTATGGTAAAATATACTCAGTATTATAGGCTGACCGACCGTCTTCACTCAGAAACGTATACACAATGATTTTATACCATTGAATTCGAATTTAACCTATACATTGCAGTTGCCCATAATATGTCTCATATTATTATGAGACCTTATTTACAGCAGAGTGCATTGCTCATCTTTTTTAATTTGAAGTAAAGGATTCATTGATGAATCATATTGTTTATTTATATAGTGAATAATAATATTATATTAAATTAAAATAATTAATTAATTCTTCGTGTGCGAGATTTTTTTAGTTAATACTTCAAAACTATAATATAACTTGGATGGTGGAGATTATTATGAGTATTGTTCTAGTTTTCGTAACGTGTGAAACGCATTTAAATTTAACGTTTTTATTAAAAATTAGAACTTGAAGATTAATGTAATACAGTATGATATACGAACTAAATTTTTTTCAAATTTAGTCATTTGTTGACATTCCATTAGAATGTTCAAATAATATTTTTGGTAGACTTAAGACTCAATTTTCTCAGATCCTATGTATGCATATACTCCCTGCTTAAGTCAGTACCCTGCAGATTTCTAATGTCCTTGTCCGTTTTTCAATGACATAACAATTATGACGTCAAGGCAATATTGCTTTCCGGATCAACAAATCTGAAGGTCGATTGAATGGCCGAGTAAGTCTTAGGTACTTATCAAAAAAAAAAAATTATATACATATTGCGAAAACCTAGCCCGCTTTCTCGGGATCATAATGTCATCTATTTAACCTCAGACACGAACCATCGTGAAAACATACAAACCTAGTAATCAATTTTAATTGTTATTTATTTTGGAACATAATTAGATAGGTAACTAATAAAGAATTAATAGTTAATTATAATAACAACAATAAAATACTGTGTACAATTCACTTGGGTTTTATTTTAAATGTAAGTACCTACCTACTATATCTATTAATAATCTGATTATAATAAGAAAATCGTGTTTTTTTAAATTATATTTTGGGATCGTCATAACATAAGTTACACACGGAGAGCAACTTATTAGTTATTAGACTAATCATAGAAACATATTCTTCATTACACACTCTTAATTTGAATATATTCTCTACACTTAAAAATACATAAATCATTTATTTATCATCAAGTATTTTGGTAAAAAAATAGAGCTGTTTAAAGTTACACGATTTTTAACAAAATAATCAGAAGACCATATTTTCAAATTCTTGAGATTTTTAGTAGTTCTTCCTATCTTTTGGCTTGCAAACTTCTGAATTTAGTGGGTCATTTTTTTAAAAATGTTTGTATACTTACATAGGCGAAGATCGGGGGGGGGGCTTACGGGGGCTTAGTCCCTCCAAAATAAATTATTTGAAGTTAAAGACCTCCTAAGAATATAAACAAACAATACCGTAATTTTGTACAGTTTGCAGAACTTTTTTCATCATTTTATATTCTTATATCCACAATTATATAAGTGTACCTAGTACATTACATACACACTATTTACAAATTTATTATTTACGGTAAAATACCGAACAATTAAGTCACAATTCACAATAATATTATATTGTGTTTATATACCTAATATTGTAAATGTTGTGTACCAATTGGCCATCTGTATAGAATAACATATTATACCATTCTATTTTAGATGGGAAAAATATTATTTCTTTTCCTAATTTTTGTTAATTCTCGAGAAAAGATAGCTATTATAGGACTATCGCTATAGCTGTATTAAACCTATCGTAAAGTCTATCGCGATTGAATGAATCGTTAACCGTATTGACCATTTTATACTAAATTATATTTTACTTATGTTCTTGGGAATACATTTCTTTTGAGATTGTGATTTAGATTTTTAATAAATAATTTAGTTCAAATATGTTTGAAATATTTAAATTTAAATCGTTTATTAATTATTCTTTTTTTTATGTTTGTAACTATTTAAGTTGTTATGATAACGAGTCAACGAGAACAATTTTTTATGAGTGATCTAATGTAAAATCTAATGTAAAAATTAGTTTGTTGGGGGTGTGGGGGCAATGCCCCCACTGGTCTGTTTGTCATCAAATATTTGAGCCCCCCTTAATATTTCACAAGATCTCCACCTATGTATACTTACTTAATTCAATAAATTCAAAAGATACTTTTATGAAGTCTCTACTCTCTATAAGACCACTTGATCAGGATCACGCCAAGTGAAAAAAATATTTACTAGACCCCCCCAAAAAAAACAGTTAGCTCAGTGCGAGTTTGCGGCCTGAGGCCATGGTCAGGACGACACAGTCAGTTCAGTAACTAAAGAACTACTCATAGGAACTTTGGTTTTGATAAGTTAACATTTTCAAGAAAATAATCTGCTAAATAATTTACATATTTCAGAAAAGGGAGATTATCATTTTAAAAACAGAAGTTTGTATCCTCATATAATATTTCTTAAGTAAAACAAAAAAAATTTCAAAAATTCAAAATATGTTCTTGAAGTATAGCTATTTAAAAATTATAAAAATTAAATGTTGAATAACTGCATTATTGAAGAAGAAAAAAGTAGTGAGCATTCATAGTTAATAACTATATTGTCAACACAAACCATTATGTTCATTGCCTCATTAATATCCTGTTTTAATAATTTTTAAGTGTAAGTTGTTATGAAAAAATAAAATTGAACCATATTTTAAATAATACATTTTATCGAATATTTTACAAAATTTAAAATTTAAAATTGATATAAATATTTGTATATTTAATATAAAAATAATGCGTAAAACTCATTTTTAAAAATAATATTTATTCGAACGGCAATTTTTTGAATTGCTATTATAAGGTTAGCCCAGTTAATATTTAGGTTGTACCCTATAATGAATATGAATCATGAATTCTGTATCGATTTGATGAACATCGTGTCTAATGGACTTTTAAGAAATATAATTTTTTATGACTGTATTCGTATCCTATCATTCAACTAAGGTGGTCGGCCTGATAGCCATGTTTAAAAACAATGTAATTGTCCTACTCCATAGGAGGGCTATTTTACACATTCATCAATCAAAATATTATCGTTTTGTCACAGTGGACAAAGAACGGCATGTCTGATTAGTAGGTATATAGCTTCGAATATAAATTATAAAAAATTACCGAATTAGTCACATAGAAAACTTAGCGAAATACTGATCCAAAATTATGTTCAGTGATTAACGATAAATACACATTTGTATATTAGTGTAATAATATAATAATTATACTTGTGAGACTAAAAAATGACTTTATAATATTAACAGGTTCTATACCTATATTGATTTTGTTTAGAAATAGATACCTACAGCTAATAGTGTATTGTAAATTATGATAGTTGCAGATGTTCAATTATTACACACCAAATATTCGTGCACTACACGTATTATGATAGATTATGTATAAAGTATGTATAAAGCCTTGTAACTTATTACTTATGACATATTAATTTCAAAAAAAAAATAATAATAATATTAAATTATTTCAATGTGTACAATGTTATCAATATTAAAATGTATGCAGGCTTGTTGTACATAGATATTAACATATAATTAATACAATTATATACAAGACTATTTGTTAAAAAGTTATGCTTTTGTTTTAGTTGGTTATTTTTAATATTGATTAAAGTAGTAATACTCATAATATCCAATAAAAATTATTAAGTTTGAAATATTTTATACAAACAAAAGGAAGTAATTAGTTTAAATATTGTGAATAAAATATGTTTAATTGTACTGTTTGAACAAAAATAATATACCTTTATTACTTAATATTTCACTGATAAATAAATCCAATCAAATTGAATTATGAGGGTAATTTATGACCGTGGGTTCGTGGCTAACCTTTCCTGAAAATGTTTGAGTAATCGTATAACTAAGTAGTCTGCACAAGTTTCACAACACATCAAAAT